ATTCCTGCCTAAATAGGTTGTAAGTACATTTTAAACTGCCAAGATAGCATAGAAAAAAAGGTAAGTGCTTAATGGTGTCATTTTCAGCCTCTGAGCCTTTGTTTTTCTTAGATTATTTCAAAAGCACCCCAAGATTTTTAAAGTAGTGCCTCTTTTAATATTTTGGTTCTGACTTCTGGGATTAAATGATCTCATCAGCTGCTAGGAATAGATTGTATATATTACAAGTGGTGTAATATCAATTAGTTTACAAGCTTTTGTATGTCCTGTGATAGCATTTCATGTCTCTCACTTAAACAGCGAGGGTTATACATCTCTGTGAGGCACATCTTTAAAGTGTTACCTTCTCAAGCAGGAGATTTTCCAGGGCTGTTGACTTACTACCCTGGAGTTTCCAGTTCACGTGCAGTGCCAGAGGCTCTTTACTTTCAAAACGTTGACAGCCGTGCGCGTTGTTGCCGAGCTCTGCTGTGGGCAGACTGATCCTTCTCTTCCCTCTGCCCTGTATGTTTGCCTCCTCAGGTGGTAAACCTGCAGTACAGTGAAGTTCAGGACCGGGTCATGCTCACTGGCCGCCACATGGTTCGAGACGTGAGCTGCAAGAACTGCAACAGCAAACTGGGCTGGATCTATGAGTTTGCCACCGAGGACAGCCAGCGCTACAAGGAGGGCCGCGTCATCCTGGAGAGGGCGCTGGTGCGGGAGAGCGAGGGCTTTGAGGAGCACGTTCCATCCGACAACTCCTGAAGAGACTCTTTGCAGTTCTCTTCAACTGAAACTCGACAATAATAAAATCAAAAAAATCTGCTTACATACACTGTCACCTTAGCATCAGAGTCGGATTCGTGGACTACGGAGTGGGAAAGATTGTGAGAATATTTCAGATGGAACCTTCCTTTCTATATTCCTTTTATATTTTACTTTCCCTCCAGCAGCTGTTTGTAGAAAGAATGTTGTGCAGATGCTGTAACTTTTTCTCTCTTGCATTTACACCTGTTAGATTTGAGATTGTATCTACAGATACAGTGGGCTAAAAGGAAAGTATTTGGGGGATTTGTCTTTTGTTAGAGAGAAATTCAGTGAGTTATTTTTAGTTTGCACAAACTGATGTCAGCATAAGTTATTTTAAAACTACAGATGTTTTTTTAAAAAGTATATTCCAATTTTTGGCTTACATTTTAGTTAGAGTTGTTGTTTTGGGTTTTTTTACCCAGTCTTTTCACCTGATTTGCTAGCTAAAGTAAAGAGATCCGAATTTGTGCCGAGTGCTAAAGGTTCAGTGTTGGTACAGCTTGGGCTGGCCCTTGTGCCATATTCTTGTTGAGGTTGATTGGTAGCACAGAGCCCATTATTTCTTGTCATTCTTGACCCAAAGATGTCACCATTCCTTGTTTGTTTGTGAAGTCCCATTCACCATGTAAACTGGTGTTGATTGGAAACTATTCTCGAAATAGGGCAAAACTGCTTGGCTTTTTTTAACTTTAACTGATGTAACTTATAAGCCTAGTAATAATATAAAATAATAGTTGTCTGTTCAGTCTTGCGTTGCTTACAGATCAAGCTGTGTTTGTAATGATAGGGATCCACTGAGAAACTACTGTTTCAGTAGTAATTTTTTTTTCGTTTCTCTACTAATCTCATTAAGAAGACGGGGGAATTGCAAATCTTAATTCTTCTTCAAGGAGCTTTCTTGAAACCCAGAACTTCCTACGTTAAACACAGCTGCTGTGTAAAAGGAGAAGATTGCCAGCATGTTTGTTCATGCCTAGAGTTATGCAATCTGCATCTCTTGAAAAGATTAACTTAAACAGCTTGTTTTCAAATGCTGCTTCTGGTGGTGAAACCTTTATCTTTCAACTTTGTCGAACGTTTTCAGTGTGATAATTCTTTTTTTTTTTTTTTATGTTTCTGGGCAGCAGTACATGTCAGCCTAGTAGTAACTAGTGACTTGGATTCATGCTTTTTTTCTTGTAGAGGTTAGCTCTGTGGAGAACAGTGATCTTGCTTGCCTTTTTAGCAAAAATGCTCTTCATTAACTTAACTCAAGGGTGCCCAAACACTTTCATTGTGTCTTAAGCCATAACTTAAGATCTCAAGGGCTGAAATGTATTTGAATGTTAGATATGTATGATTCTTTATCAAAGATACAAGGTTGGTTTTTTTCTTATTGGGTAAATTGTGGTCAATGTGAAATAAGTTACCCACAGACCTACAAGAGGGAGAAAATAAAACCCACGCAACCAAACAGGTTTGGGCTCTGACCTTTCAGATTGACTTGTCTCCACTAGCCACAGCTCCATATCTGAAACTAAAAGGTGTGTGGAGGGTGACTATGCAGAATATTTTTCTTAATTTTTTTATTTTGGTTGCCAAGTGGTAATTTGGACACCCCTGACTTGAATCCACTGCCTATTTCATGTACGAGTATCTTTATTATAGAATTGTCACATAGAAAGAACACAGAGTAGATCACATACCAGAGCTGTGCTTGAATCAAGCTGCTTAAACAATAGTGTACTTGTGCCTCAAATGAATCAGTTTTTGCACTGAGTACAGTAGTACCCCATGATCTTGTACTTCTGTCCTTCACAGACCCTAAATGCCCCATTAGCATGGTTCTCTGCTGTACTTTTCTTGTACTTCTGACGTTACAGTACAATAAAGTATGTTTTGTCCTGGATTGATACTTGCCATTCTTTTTGAGTAATTTTCATGGAGTCTGTCAGCTGAATGACATAACCTCGGTTCCATACCCTACATTCAGTAAATCATTGTGTTTCTACAGTGACAAGCTGTTGATGAGCATCTCTCGCTGAATAGATGGCAAAAGAGTGTGCTGTTGATTTTGGAAGATGCCAGGTAAAAGCTTCATGCATACCTCTTGGACACTTGAAAGCCTTCCATTTACTCACATTAAAGAGAAAATAAAACCAGGAAATTGCTTATTTAATGGAATTCTGGGTGCCAAATGTCTTTCCCTGTCTTTGAAAAGACAGCAAGCTAAGCAAAACTCCAGCTTCTACAAGAAATGTGAAGCTTTAGCTTCAGAAATGCCTTAGGAATTGGGAATTTGTGTATCTGTAATTTATTGACTTTTTTCTTTGCATGCAAATGTTAAGGAGGAGGCTTCTGCTAGCAGTTGGTCAACTTCATAAACTGAAGCTGAAGAAGTGAGGTGAGAGGATCATTACGTTGGTGTAATGGAGCCTGAGGGGTTTATTCTAACTTACATAAAGACTGCTTCATTTTGTTAGTTAGTTTTGAAGTTAGACTGTGAGATGTTGCAGATTACTTTCCTCAAGGTCTATGATTTAAAAAACTGTTGAGGTGCATTCATTAGAAGCCTCTGTGATTTAAGTTAGTCCACTGCAGCTTTAAAACAGTTGGCTATAGATTGCTTTTCTAGCTTACATGCCTGTTCCCTTCCCTATCACCTTGATGTCTCTGTGGGAGAGTTTAGCCTCATAAATTTTGACTGCTCCTCCTTGGGACACTTTGTGTATGAATACAGATAGCTTATCTGTAGGGAACAGGACGATTGGTTACAGCACGGCTGGCACCAGAGAAGACATTGCTATTTGGCATTAAAATGTTATTTTGGAGGGGTGCAGCAGCCTTGGATTCGGAAACGAGGCATAGCTGGCGTGGCAGTGAACTTGCACCTGGCATGGGATGGTGTGACTCTGCTGTCTCGGGTGAAGAAGGTAGCAAGGAGATCGCTGTGTGTTTGTGGAGAGCTTGGGATTTGTGCTCCTGGGCTGCAGTTTGGGCTGGCAGTGGTGCTGGGACTTTTGCCTAACATCAGTTACATTAGTTTGCCCTGCCCACACTATGATCTCATCCTCTAGTTGCAGTGTAGGTGTACCCAAACTGAATTACTTCATTAAAGCTGCTGACTGCCACTTCAGCAAAGCACAGCATT